CTACAGTAACTGTTTGGAGCGTCAGCCTGTTGCTACTTGACCCTAAGGAAGACTCTGGATTACATTTCTGGTTTATGAATTGTTACTAAGAAAAGCAAGCAGCATTGTCAGAATTTGCTAAAGATGCATCTGTATAGCCGCTGGATGCATTTTACAGGGTTGGAAGGCAAAGCACACTGAAAATGCGCCTGGGGGGTAAGGTGGTTTCCCCTTTGAAGTGTGCTGTGGTACGTGAGGGGGGTCCAAACTTAAAACCGTTTGCTAAACCACGTCAGTCTCCAGTCACCACCCTCTGTTGTGTTACGCGTACATGTCTGTGCCCTGTGGTATTTCACATGCCCAACAGTGCTATATACAAATACTTCCCCAGAGAGCGAGAACGCGGAGCTGAGAATAATCAGTGATACTGAATACCAGGAGTACTCGTCCTGCGCCTGAGCAGCACACGGACCAGCAAGGCTGCCCCTGAACAGCCGCCTGCGTTTGCTGTACGTGTTTGCCCATGACCCTCACCTGCAGTCGGCTGAGGTGGCAGCTTCTTACCCCGTGTGGGTCTGGTGCCTGCGGCACGGGGAGATGCTGTCAGGGAGGACGTTTATCTCCTACAAAATGGAGTACTCCTACAGAGCATAGCACATAATGTCCACATGTTCTCTAGAATACGTAATAACCTCCTGCATTTTGTTTGGAGCTCTCTGTTAGCTTGATCAAGTTGGTTGTGATGTTGGCCATGGGTGCAGCTTAATTTTAAACATTCTTAGCGGAAGGGCAGTAACTCAAGATGTAGCTCAAAGGAAGAGTTAGCAGCTATTTCAAATGGGAGAAAGGAAAGAAGGAATTAAACCCCTCAGAGTAGTCACACTCCAGCTCCCTGATGCCTGTGTTCTCCCCTGGGGCCTGCGAGACATCCCCTATTGACTGCAAGGAGGTGGAGGAGGCGGCAGTGGCTCAGCGCTAAGCCTGGCACGGCTGCTGCTCTTCTCCCATCTGCAGCGCAGACGTGGGGCAGATGCTCTGTTTTGTCTGAAGGTGCGAGCCTGTTCTCAGATGTGGCTGCAGCAAAGCCCATCCTGGCACTGAGGGCTGTGAAGTGCTCTGGTGCTGTTTTCTGGGTTCAGCCTGCTGTGGTGGCTCAGTTCCTGCGTGGCAGCTTCCTGAGGAAGCTTCAGGCTGCCACACCTCCTGTGTTGCTGCTTTTCATCTTGAAGGTAAATAGATTTATCTCCATGTGACAATTTGTAGCAAGTAATGCTGGGCAACAGCGTATGCCAAGCATGTGTAAATGCATAACAAACATACATCTTGCTCAGTCCTCATGACAGTCTCTCCTAAGGTGTGCTGGAGGTTTCTGTGAGCACAGGAGAGCAAGGCTGGGGTTATCAGCGTCAGGACCCTTCAGAGGCATCTTCTAGCGCCTTGTCCTGTCTCTCAGAGTCTAGCTGCTCCTCCATTATGAGGGGCAGGCAGGAAGTCACTGCAACAGCAGAGCAGCAAACAGCATTGCCAGAGATGTTTTAACAGCCCCATATGCTGCAATCACTTTCACCCCAATGTTTTTAAATTCTCTTAGAAGCAAGTGTTTAGGAAATAACACTGCTGAGTTGTGAAGGTCGGCCTTGGAGCCCTGCGAACCACTCCTGCCTCTCCCCATCACCACTGCTGGCGGACAAAGCTGCTCGCAGTTTGTCCTCAGTTGTGTCTGGGAGGACCTGACTGAGGAGGGGAAAAGTTGTTTTATGGACTTGAGAATGGAAAGAGAGTTTTCTCCATGGCATTTACGGGAAAGCTTTCCCGAGTAATAGATTGCAGTATTTGCTAGTCTCCCTATTACTATCATTACTGTGCTATTTTTATTAGATTGAAGCAGCTTCTACCAAGCAGCTGCTTTGGAAAATAACCTCTCATATTTTTTCTCATTTGATTGAATCTGCTTTTCAAATTGGACATTAAGGGATAGCATTAAGTAAGTTTAGTACAGATTTGGTTAAAATCAGTCTTCTGCAGAACCTCAACCACCACCAGCACCTCTGAGTGAACAATTTCTGTTGTTCCTGTGGCAGCTCTCTCTGCCTTCTCCTTCCCTGTGAGAGCCTGGGGGATCAGGGATCTCTGCAGAACTGCACTAAAAAATTATACCCAACACACCAACAGAAGCATTAAGATCAAGATCTGAACTATTTGCATATTCTAGTCCATTAATTTTGGTGGATATCCTTTTGTTTGTTGAGTGGGAAGCAAAGTTAGAGCTGATGGTATACTTGAGGAATATATTTTGTAACTGTGTGTATTTCCAAACTGCCTGCCCCTCTGCAGGTATGAAAATGAACCACGTGAGACCGCAGGGTGGGCCACTGGAAGCGGCGTGGTGTTTGGGGAAACAGCGTACGGCAGCAGAAAGGGTGCTGCAATGTGAGGATCCTTCTTTTGGCTCTGTGGAGAGGAACCCTTGCAGGGCAGGCAAGGCAGGGGGTGGCATTGATGAGAATGTTGTGACACGACCCAGAGGAGCAGGGCTTGGGTCTCGCTCCTTCTGAAATGCCTGCCTAATCTGCCTCAGAGCAGCATACAGCTTCAAACCCACAACCAAAAGATGGAGTGGGGGAAGCTGCCTGCAGGGGGTTTTAGTTAGATGTCAAGGGGAGGCAAGTACTAAAAATCATTTAGTTGTATTTTAGTGTAGCATTTGTCAGATAAATTTTACTCTCATATGGAACACTGAAGTCCAGGTGACTAAGCTGCAGGAATAAATGCCAGTGAAACCACTCCTTCAAGGAAATTCTCACTAATTCCACTGTTTACTTTGTGCCTTACTCAGAGGAGGATGTAAGAGCGATCCCACGCCCTCTGCCCGACAGCACACTGCTGCAAAAAGGTGACAAAGGACTAACAGGTCAGGAAATGTGTTGTCAGACATGCACCCACCTGTCTTATCAACAGCACTTTGGTTACTAGAACTAAAGATCGCGGGTGTTTTGACACCAGCACTTTTCATGGAGCCTGCTGTCCCATTGCATGGATGTGGCCAAGGAAGTTCTGGAAGGAGCTATGTTGCCATAGTCTTTAATCTATTAGAGCTAAAGGATTAGAAAACTGGTGTACATCAGGCATTAAATCCATTCCCAGCGTGTTCTGCATGTCTCCGCTGCTGACCTCAGTGATTAAAAAGATGTCCGGACACATCTATGTGTCCACCCAGTCACCTGGTTTGGCTGCTATCCAGTCACTGGATCACTGTCCGCTCATCTGGAGGCTGTTCTTTCATCCAGATTGAGTTATTCTGGTGCCCAAGCAGCATTTCAGAGCCCAATCTGAACATAAACAGGGTTGGCTTAGGGTCTGTGAAACCCAGAGGCTGAAGTTCCACCAAGGGAGTTACCCATGTATCTTCGTCAAGGTGCAAAGTTCACCCGCGCAGCCAGGAGTCATCTGGAGAGATCACCTTGAGTCCCTCTGCCACCTCTGCAGACCCGCAGCAAGGCAGCTGAAAGGAAACCACGACTCCCTCTGAAACGAGGTGCCCCCGCGAGGGCTGCCACTGCGATGAGGAACAGAAACTCCCCAGTTGCTGCCTGAGAGTCACTTCTCCAGTGGACTGCTATTTAAGGGAATAGAAATGGTCTCATGCTGATGAAAAAGAGGAAGGGGCAGTTGTTTTTCTGAAGATAATTTGGAGGGGCCCTGGCCTTTGAGAATGTGAAAAGCAAGTTGAAATCAGCTGGGCAGAGCTCCATTTGGTGAACAACACGCAAACAGGCGAGCAGAGGCTTTGCTCTCTAATGCAGTTACTGGTGCATGCATTATGCTGCTGTAGAGATGTTTCTCAGGAGTCTCATTTTTGAGTGTGACCTCAGTGGTAACAAAGACAATCTCACAACCTTCATACCTTTTCCATGGTTTTGAGCAATTATTTTTTTCCAGAGCTGCTCCTGGACTCCAGTCCCTGTGGGAGCCACCACATGCCACCCTACTGGGCACTCCAGCCCCCATCCCCAGTGGGGCTGAGCGTCTCAGGCTCCCTTGGATGGGTGTTCTCAGGGAAGCGCTGCTGCGGGGTCTTGTCTTGCACTTTGAAAGGCTTCTCTGGGCCTGGCAGGCAAACCAGGCACTCCAGCTCTTACTTTACTGCTGACAGATAAAGCTGTTTCTCAGTAAACAGCAGCCCAGAGGAGCTACAAGTGGTGGAGATCCGGGGATCTCACCATGAGCTGGAAAGCGTTTGCAGCTCGGTGGCACGGTCTGCTTGTCTGTACCCTCTCTCTCTGCCAGCAGAGAAGCGTACATAAAAAAGTGTTTGGAGGAGATGTTTCTGAAGCCACAGTCGCTTCTCCATCATCAGCCCAGTGTCAGGCTTCTGGCATCTCAGAGTATGGTTATGAAATATATAGTTATATTCTGCCAGTGTCTCCATCCACGCACCCAAGGAGCCATGACCAGTCCAACCTCACAGCATTTCTGGGAGCCAGGGCAGTGCCAACAGCCTCATTTTAGAGGTGGAAGAACCAAGTCATCGAGTTTCTGCATGACCCACCTAAAGCCACACAAAGTCTGCCAGCAGCCTAGGACGGGCAGCCCAAATGTCCACTCCTAGCCCCCAGCATGGGACAACACCTCCCATGCTGGGTCAGCATCCCCCCATGGGCACACAGGCTGTCGGAGAAGCAGCTCCCGCAGCAGGGCTGGCACGTGAGCCCCCGCTGTGGGATTCTGCTGGGCTGCGGCAAGGAGTCCCCATCAGCAGGGCAGCGGGCAAAACCCGCTCCAAGGACAGACAGGTTTTTGGAAGGGCTGTCCCCAGGCAGTGCTGCTGATGGCCATGGTTGCCCCACACACACTGACACCAGCAGAGCCCCAAAAGACCATGCGAGACCCAGGGTGTGCAGTGAGTTAATCCCCGCTTGCCCGGGGTTTCAAGTGCTGGCCCTCACCAAGTTCTCGGCTCCCTGCAGGCTCTTCCAGCTGCTATTCAGCATAAGTTTGCAGGCAAATGGGCCAGGGGAGCTTCAGCGCTCTTGGAAGAAAGCAAATGCCTGTCTGACAAAGTCCCGGAGGGTCAACAAGCTCCAGGAGCGCTGGGCTTTTCCCTCGGCCCCGGAGTCCACACAGTCCCGCCCTGCCCTGTCCTCTCTGGATGACTTACAGTTGTTGTTGGTGTTATGAGAGTGCAGCTGGATCAAGTCCTCCTCTAAGGCCCCCGTCAGCTCCTTCAGCTCCCTGGAGGAGTTTGCCCGCAGGTACTGCCAAGCCTTGCGCCCGCTGTGGTCCCTGCGGCTGGTGTCCACCCCATAAGCTCCCACCAGCACTTTGATGAGCAGCTCGTGTCCCTGCAGGGCAGCCAGATGTAAGGGGGTGAGCCCACCGCTGGCTGTGGAGATGTTCACGTTGACAGGATAGCCTTTCTTCTGGGCATGGGAGATGACCTGGATGAAGCTTTCATGGTTGCCATGCTTGGCAAGCCAGTGGAGAGCGGTGAAGCCTGTCACAAAGTCTTTCCTGGTCAGCAGGCTGGGATCCAGGTCCAGCAGTCTGATGATGTTGTCTGCGTCACCCTGGGCCACTGTCAGCAGCCACTCGTGCTCCAGGGGATCCAAGGCAAGGGACAGCACCTCGGGGCTTTGCTCAGTCTTCTGCTCTTGGTGCGGCCCTGGAAGGAGGCTGCTGCCTTGAGATGTCTTCTGAGTGGTGGCAAACCGTATGGTGCTGCTGGGGCTATTGCTCTGCAGAAGGATTTCCTTCAGCTCCTTCCTTCGGGTGCTGCTGGGGCCGATGGAGAGCCTGCCTGCAGTCCTGCCCCAGCTCCCCAGGCCCTGGCTGTCCCGGCTGATGCTCCTGGTGGTGTCCATCTTCTGCAGTGGATGGAAACGCTCCCTGCTCCCCATGGTGACCGGCCAGAGGTGGGAGCTGCGGGCCAGTCTCCCCGCTTGGGGCTGGGTGGCTTCCAGGAAGGTGAACTTCTGGGCAATGCCAGCTATCCTCTGCTTTGCTGAGCGCTGCTCCTGCTCCTGGCGGGCCATGGCGGTGTCCTCACGGGGCCGTCCAGCAGCCCACTTGGTGGTAGGGCACAGCTCGCAGCTCGTGCTCCCCAGCTCTCACCCCACGCTTCCTGTCCTGGCGTCAGACAAAAGAGGAACCGACTCTGCGCGGCAGGAGGGCACACCAGGCATGGCGGCGGATCCGCGGTACTGCCGCACTGCTGAGAGAGTGCGGGCGACCTTTGGTCATGCTACGTCTGTGACTGCAGCCAGTGCTGTGCACGGATGCAGCCACGTGCTGTCTGCTGTCCCCAGCCACGCTTGCCTGCAGCGTCATGGAGGGAGAGCAGGTGGGCGTGTGGTGGCCACTGGGAGCATGTGGCATTGCTGGGGTGGGCAAAGGTGGGGGGTACTGGGCAGCCCAATATCAGTATTAGAGAAGAAATTTGACTAACTGTATTCTTGTCTCTGAATAATCTCATTTAGCATTAGTGGCTGAGCATTAACATCTGAAATAGCTGAAGCCTTAGGCTGCAAGAGCGGACCAAGCATGAATTTTTAATAAAACTAATGTTGCTAACAAAGAACTCACTGAATCCAGCAGATACAAGCAGAAAAAAAATAAGGACCAGGGAGACAATTCTAAGAGAATTAAGTAATTTCAGAAGGTGTCCGGCCCAGAGACAGTGAAAACCAGTAAGAAATCAAGAGACCACTCACCAGAATTAAGAGACTGGATTTGGGGATCGGGTGGTGGATGGTGTGGATGTAATTGAGAGGCGTGAATTGGAATAGAGATTCCTCTCCCAAGGCACCCAGCTTGAGCTGTAACCAAAGAACTGATAAAACACTGATTGGAAACCTTCACTTGGCCTTGGCATTCTGAGTGGGATCCTAAGGTCAGACCCTGTTATGGTGGCCGATGTGTAAATTTGTAACGCTGGTCCCAGTGACACTTCCGCTGCCCCGGTGGCGCCCCAAAGCCCTGGGTGCCTTGCTGAGGCACCTGCCTTACAGCCCACTCCAAAATTGCCCCCTGCAATTGCAATGCTTCTCCTTGGTGCTGTGCTCAGGAAGGTCAAGGTTACTGCTCCAAGAGGCCACTTTCCTGGTGGCTAGTGGTTTTCTGTGCTGCAAGGGAGACCCAGCCTGGGGCAGTGTTCTGGGTCCCTTTCCACCCGATGTTTCAGCCCAGAGGCATTTTTGCCTTCCTCTCTTGCTGGTGTTTCACTTCCCAGCAAGGCCTCATGCCTGGCTTTGTTGGCAGCTGCAACCACCAGCAGTTTGTACCCTAATTTTGTTGGGAATCGGGACACTTTCCTTTGCCTCGAAAGCTTGCTCCAAACTGGTCATCATCCCTCAGGGGAGCTTTCCCTTTCTCCAACCACTTGGACCAGTTTTTCTGGGACATGTGGGGAGCTGGAGTCATCTGATAAAACCCAAACAATGTGTTGAAAACATAATTGTCCCCTTGGTCCCTTTCTGGTGCTGCCTGGTTTTGTCACTGGCTGTTGGTGGCTTCTGCGGGCTCAGGGAGGCAGCAAACTTGACCCACACAGCGACGGGATCCCGGGGAACTGTTTGAAATGCTTGCTGAGTGGCAGCTGGGGAAAACAAGGGGGGAAGCGAGGTGCTGCTTTGGGGGAATGAGAGCACCCACAGGCAAAGCAAAGCACCCATTTAGAGTCACCCTGGTCGTGCCTGCAGTAGGGACTGGTTATTGCACTGGTGAGCTCTGACTGGCCTAAAACTGGGGTGCCAACCTTGGAGGCCTTACTGGGGGGTCTCAGGGGACGGGAAAGTTATTTGGTTTGGGTTTGCTCGGGACCGAGTTTCCTCTCTCTAAGCCTTTGATGCTTGTGCGGGCATCAAA